ACAGCACCTGTGTCATGACACAGAACCTAGACTAGTGCCTAGCTCATGGTAGGATGTTATTATACATATCTCGAGGTTACCGTTTAAAAAGCTGCATACCCTTGGACGTCTTCTCACCAAAGGGCCCTAGCATCTAGAGAGAGGCATGTTAAACAGAATGAAGGGACGAACAGTGAATGAGATGGCCTTCTACTCCTCATCCATGTTTGCCCTCAGCACTGATTATTATCCCACTTTTTAATATCATTCTAGTCAATAGGTAAAAAGACAGACATTATATACTGATAAAGGGCACAATTTATGATCATGTATAAACCAAATAACATCAAATATCACAGGAGACAAAAACATAAAAATTGTTAATAATACAAGGAAAACTTGATAAAAATTCAACTGTTGTGAGGTATTTCAGTACATCCTTATAGTATTGGACCTAGAGAAGGAACAGCAATGCTAATTACTGAATAATCAGTAATGATAATAATAAAATATATTATCTGAGATTTACTGGGTGTCTGCTGTGTGCCAAGCACTCTTCTAAATGTTTTACAGTATTAAATCATTGATCCTCAAAAAAATCCGTGAGACTCAACAAAAAGACATTTTTCCAGTGAAGTTATACAAATGACCAATTAGCACATGAAAAGATGTTCAGTAGCATTAGCCATTAGGGAAATGCAAATCAAACTACAATGATATACCACTTCACACCCACCAGGATAGCTATAATAAGAAAGATAAACAATAACAAGTATTATTATAACAATAACAAATATTGGGGAGGATGTAGAGAAATTGGAACCCTCATACATTGCTGGTAGAAGAGTAAAATAATGCACCTGCTTTGGAAAATAGTCTGGCAGTTCCTCAAAAGCTTATACATAGATTTGTCATATAATATGGCAATCCCACTCCTAGGTATATACCAAAGAGTATTGAAAACTATATCCATATAGAAATTTGTGTGTGAATGCTTATAGCAGTGTTATTCATAATAGGGAAAATGTGTGGAAATTGCCCATTTGTCCATCAACTGATGAATAGATAAAAATGTGATATCTCCATACAGTGTAATATTTGGCCATGAAAAGGATATATGCTACAATATGGATAAACCTTGAAAACATTACGCAAAGTGAAACAAGTCATGAAGGACTACATATTTCATTTCTATGAAATGGGTAGAATAGGCTAATCTGTAGAGACACAATGTATTTAATAGATTAATGGTTGTTATGACTCAGAGTGGGTTTGGGATGGGGAATTAATTGGGAATACATGCTAAGGAGTAGGAGGTTTCTATTTAGGGCAGTGAAAATGGTCTATAATTGATTGTGGTGATCAGGTTGGACAACCCTGTGAATATACAAAAAATCCATTGAATTGTAGATTTTATTTTATTTTTGAAACAGAGTCTCACTCTGTTGCCTGGGCTACAGTGCCGTGAGGTCAGCCTAGGTAGGTCACAGCAACCTCACAAATTCCTGGGCTCAAGCAATCCTCCTGGCTCAGCTTCCCGAGTAGCCAGGACTACAGGCATGTGCCACCACACTCGGCTAATTTTTTCTATTTTTAGTTGTTTGGCTAATTTCTTTCTATTTTTAGTAGAGACCGGGTCTTGCTCTTGCTCAGGCTGATTTGGAACTCCTGAGCTCCAGCAATCCTCCCGCCTCAGCCTCCCAAAGTGCTAGGATTACAGGCATGAGCCACTATGCCCAGCCCAAATTGTAGATTTTCAATAGGTATATTTATAGTATGTGAGATACATTTTAATAAAGTTATTAAAAACAAAATTATAGTTATTAATACATTAGTTGACTTTAAAGGAGGTCTCTAAGGTATGTTTGAGTAAGGAAAGCAAGATGCAGAAAAAATGCATATGATTTCATTTTTTTTTAAATAATGACAATACTGCATGTATGAATATATGTGTATATGTAATTATAGGAGTATAGGATAAATGTGGAAGGATATATACTAGGTTACCAATATGGGTTACCCGGATAGGGGAGTGCTAATGTAGGGGAGGGGGATTAGAGGAGGAAGGAGGTAGCAATGCAATATAGGAAAAGAAGACAACTTGCATTTAAAAAGAAACCCATGATGTATTAATATCATGTCTGCAGTTTACTTTCAAATAGTTTAGCAAGAAAGTATGTATGTGTGTATAATTACATATGTAAACATATGTATACATACATAGATGGATAAATAAAGCAAATATGGCCAAATGTTAACAATTGTTAACTCTATGTGGGGGTTATGAAAAATAGGGGGGAAAGCCCCACCAGAATGTTTTCTGTGATCACATTATTGTAATAAAAAATATTACATATTTAAAATTTTTAACCATACTTAAACAGAAAAATACCTTAAACATTTTTAAATTATGGAATTATTTTTATAGTCCTTTTCATTTTTGTTTAAATCTCTAAGCTATTTGGGATTTCATAGTCTATGTTTATTCTGATTTTTTTTAATCCATTACTCTTTTTTTAGGTAGACAGTCATATCATCTGGAAATAATGCTGCTTTTGTTATTCTTTTCCAAAGGCTAGAACATATAGAACAGTTCTGAATGATGATGAGAATAGACATTCTTATTTAAATTTTTAATGGCAATCTCTTATTCCAGTTTCAAAGTTTTATGTTTTTTTTTTTTTTTTTTTTAAGACAGAGTCTTGGTTTGTCCCCTTGGCTAGAGGACAGTGATGTCATCATACCACACTACAGCCTCAAAGCTCCAGCTCAAGCAATCCTCCTGCCTCAGCCTCCTGAGTAGCTGGGACAACAGGCTTATTTATGCCACTGTGCCTGGCTTATTTTTTCTGTTTTTGGTAGAGACAGGTCTTGCTCTTGCTCAGAGCTGGTCTCAAACTCCTGACCTCAAGCATTCTTTGTGCCTCGGCCTCCCAGAATGCTAGGATTACAGGCATGAACTACTGCACCCGGCCCAAAGTTTTGTTTTTTGATAAATATTATTTATTGGGTTAAAGACATCTTCTTCTAACATTAAAATAGTTAAGTGAAACAGAGCAGCCAAATCAAAGAATTAAATGAAAAAAAAATCTGATGAAAAACAACCCTAAAAAACAGAGCAAAATGGTATTTGAAGGTAGCAAGTGATAATCACTGATGGGACTGCCAGAAGTTCTTACATTCAGGCAAAGAAAACTGTTAGTTCTAGATCTATCCCAAATCAATGTCTTAGAAAAACAAGAAAAACAGATGTTACAGAGCCTGTGAGATGTGAGAGATACTGGGATACCACTGTCACATGCCTAACTGAGTTTCACTGGGTAAATCCTTGGCCTGATGTGTGCTTAGAGATAAAAGCCCTTCTACAAGAAAGTATGCCAATTTGCTAAAAATAAGCAAATATATTTTTCTTAGCACTGCTTTAAGGAATGTTCATTTTGTCAAAGGTTAAATTTCCTGGATGGATTAGTTGCCTTGCAAGTATACACTTCTGGAATGAATATGAGTGTATTCTTATGAATAAATTCTTAAATCTATTGATAGTCATCAAATTTTAAACTGAATTCAAAATTTCCCAATATGGTCAACAGTATAGGCCATGAATATGAATATATGCTGATGAAAATATGAATATATTATTAATGAATATATTAATCTTCATTAACTTTTAAACCAGGTTCAAAAATGTCCCAATATGGTCAAGAACATAGCTCATGAATATGAATATAAACCTATGAAAACGTGCATGAATATATTCATGTTCATTAATTTTAAACTGTATTAAAAAGTTTTCCCAATAGAGCAAAGAAGAATATATTCATGAATCTATTCATAAGGAGGATATATTCATGAATATAATTATTATAAAGAATATATTCACATTTGCTGAATATATTCAAGAGGAATATATTCATGAGAAGACTAAACCACTCTACAACTCTTAGCTTTTTACAAATTTAATAGTTCTTAAAATGCTGCTGCGAAGGAAAGTGAAAAGTAGTCTACTAAAATTTCACTGAAAACTTAAAAAAAGCAAAAAAGTATAAATTTGACATATTCAGCAAATTGATCTATTTATGAATTGGCCCCTACTGAGTAATTCTTAGCAAATTGATTTAGAACCCTCTCTCTTAGCATGAAATGAACCATTATTTATTACAGCATGTGCTCCGGGAAAACCAAGGCAGAAAAGAGGGGGATATTGAAAACAGCTGGGCTAGTCCGAGGACACAGAAAAGACTGATTAATAGCACTAAAGCTATAATGTTACCTCTTGGAAGGGAAGTCTTTAAGCCACTACCGTGAGTGTGGCCAGACATTTTTATTTCAAGTTCCTGTTCATTCTGAGTGTTGGATTCACATTCACAAGACTGTATAGTTTAGGGAAGATAGGTGTCTGGAGTTAGATGATCTGCATTTGAAACCAGGCTCCATTTATTGGCCCTGTACCTTGACTCTTTTACATTTTTTTAACATTGAGGTATAATTTACATGTCGTAAAATGCTCAAGTATTAAAAATGTATAGATTGATAAATTTTTACATATGTATGCGCCCTTATAAACACAACCAAGATCAAATGTGGAATATGTCCAGTCCATCACCCCAGAAAGTTTCCTGGTGCCCCATCCTAGTCCGTACTCACTTTGTACAAGTAGCGACTGTTCTGACTCCTGTCCTCATAGATTGTTTTGCCTATTCTGGAAATTCATATACCTGGAATATACAATATATATTCTGTGCCTGGCTTCTTTCACTGAGTGTAGTATTTCTGAAGTTCATTCGTTGTAGTTGTGTGTATCAGTAATATATTGTTTTTTTTATTGTCTGTTGTATGAATATACAACAGATTTTTAATCCATTCTCGTGGTTGGGGGTTGTTCCCAGTTTTTTGGCTATTAGAAATGACTGTTCACATTCTGCTTTTTGTGAATGCATATACTAATTTCTCAAACTTTTTTATTGAAATAATTATCAGTTATTGTGTATTAAGTACCTACAGGGTATTAAACAACACATCTCTGCTTTGAGACAAATATGCTGAAAAGAAGTTTTAGCAACAGACAGCGCGCGTTAGCAGCAGCAACCGCGGAGGCAGCCCCAGCCCCGCCGTCCTGCGCTGGTGCAGCCGCCCTTGCTCCCTGTGCTCTTCCTCCCTTCGCTCGCACCATGGCTGATCAGCTGACTGAAGAACAGATTGCTGAATTCAAGGAAGCTTTCTCCCTATTCGACAAAGATGGTGACGGCACCATCACAACAAAGGAACTTGGAACTGTCATGAGGTCACTGGGTCAGAACCCGACAGAAGCCGAATTGCAGGATATGATCAACAAAGTGGATGCTGATGGTAACGGCACCATTGACTTCGCAGAATTTTTTACTATGATGGCTAGAAAAATGAAAGATACAGATAGCGAAGAAGAAATCCGTGAGGCATTCCGAGTCTTTGACAAGGACGGCAATGGTTACATCAGCGCAGCAGAACTAGGTCACGTCATGACAAACTTAGGAGAAAAACTAACAGATGAAGAAGTAGATGAAATGATCAGAGAAGCAGATATTGATGGAGACGGACAAGTCAACTATGAAGAATTCGTACAGATGATGACTGCAAAATGAAGACCTACTTTCAACTCCTTTTTCCCCCCTCTAGAAGAATCAAATTGAATCTTTTACTTACCTCTTGCAAAAAAAGAAAAAAGTTCATTTATTCATTCTGTTTCTATATAGCAAAACTGAATGTCAAAAGTACCTTCTGTCCACACACACAAAATCTGCATGTATTGGTTGGTGGTCCTGTCCCCTAAAGATCAAGCTACACATCAGTTTTACAATATAAATACTTGTACTACCTTAATGATAAGGACTCCTTAAAATTCCATTTGCTAATGATTAATACACTGTTTGGGCTGGCCAGTTTTTCATGCATGCAGCTTGACGATTGAGCACAGTCAGGCATTTGTATTAAAAATGAAAAATGAAAAAACAAATTCAAAACCTATTCAAATGGGTTCTAGTTCAATTTGTTTAGTATAAATTGTCCTAGCTGGTTTACTGAAAACAGACACATTTAAAATTGGTTTACCACAGGATGATGTGCAGAAAAATGAGTGAAGGATAAACTGTTGAGATGTAGCCCCACTGGTAGGATGGTCCTCTTGTACTTCCATGTGCTCTGACCCGTGGTGATGGTGACACACCCTGGTGGCATGCCTGAGTATGTTGGTTTAGCGTTGTCTGCATGGTACTAGAGTGCAATGGGTGTTAGGCTGTCACTGTTCACACAGATTTTTAATAAGAAACCTTTACCAAGGGAGCATCTTTGGACTCTCTGTTTTTAAACCTTCTGAACCATGACTTGGAGTCTGCAGAGTAGGCTGTGGCTGTGGACTTCAGCACAACCATCAACATTGCTGTTCAAGAAATTACAATTTATGTCCATTCCAAGTTGTAAATGCTAGTTCTATTTTATTTTCCAATAAAGACCATTATCTTAAAAAAAAAAAAGTTTTAGCAACAAAATACATGATAATATTAAGAGAGCTGTCATCCAAAATATGTTAATAGATTTTAGTTTAGATATGGTTTGGAGACGTTGGAATGGAGTGAGTTTAGAATGGGCTTTGCAGGCCATTCAGGAATCTGCTTCTTTTCTTCTTAGCGAAGTGCCAAGTACTATATTAGATGCTTAGCAAACCTTCCCATTTAACATTGAGAGGTGGGTTCCAGTTATATCAGATTGCAAACACAAGTAGGGTGTACCTAGGAGGCATGTCTTTTTCTTTTGCTATAGGATAATTTAATATATTTTCAAACTTGAAAGTGATGATTCTTTGCAGTTTACTATTTCCTTGATTTGGTAGTATTTTGGGGCTGAGGAGTTTAGTGTAGTTAACATCTGCAAAATGGTGAGAGTTTAATTTTACTCAAAATAGAGGGAAATTGGAAAGTTACATGGTTTGCTTTGTGAGATTCTCACTTCATCTTGGTGTTTTGGTAGTGTAGAATGAAATTCTGAGGCTTCAGACAGTTTGCTACACAGAGATGGCATCCTAAATCAAGCATTCTTCATGACCTGTGTCCATCTTGAGCTGATTGAAGCTCTGGGCAGCCTGAACAGTACTCACCCAGAGAATTCCTGCCAGCAACAACCCAAACTTCTCAGCCCATTTACTAAAAAAAAAAAAGCAAAACATTATACATTATAGACACATCTTTTGGAAAAACCAAAGGTCCAAATATTATTAAAACCTCTTAACATTTTATGGGTACTCAGAAATAACCATCAATTTCACATATACATCTGAGTAAAAAATTAACCATTAAATATAAGTGGAGCTGAATAGGTTAGATCTTGTAAACACCTTGGTTATATGGTGTTTTTTGTGCAATACTAATTTTTTGATGTTTGACTAAGAATTCTATGAAGTGCTTAACTCCTTCATTAGCTTTACTATTAAGCTGGGAGCTTCTTGAGCTTCTTAATACCTATATATGATTTATTTTTATTGTACTATATCATCTAGCACAATTTATTGAACATAGAAGATCCTTAATATTTATTTTTTAATTAATATATGAAATATCTGTCGTGGAAATAGCTTGTTGTAAATGATTATCAGAGATTTGAGCTGAAATACTAGGTCATTGGAACATGAATTTTCCTATAATAATTTCTATTTTCTCTATGTTTATGTTGCTATTTTGCCCATTAACTAAAGGATGTGAGTGATAAGCCTTGTCTCTTCTCTGTGGCCTTCTTTACTATAACATGGAAGGAAAGTGTTTAGTGACTTGAAAAGTTTTAAAAATTTTCTGTACTGTTAGACTTGAAGTGGATGTCAGATCTGAGAGGGCCCTGAGAGACCACTATTCAACCCCTTTATTTTACTGATGAAGAACTCCGAGTTCTCATTACTTCTACACTATAATTCATGCTATGCTGTTTTGTAATTGCTTGTTTAATTCTAGGCATTTCTAGCTAGACTTTAAACTCGGTGGGAATAGGGACCACATCTGCCTTATTTAATGCTGTATTTCTGGCACTGAGCACAGTGCTTGAAAGAGAATAGGTGTTTGGTTAATGGTTCAGTTATGAATAAATAAATAAAGATTGGTAAAGGGATTCGCTGAAAGTCACATGGCTATTTAGTGTGCAGCCCACAATTGTCGAATCCTAGTTTATCACACTAAAAGCTAGAGTTTTATAATCTACTCCACCATTCTGAAGAGTCAAGGTCAGTAGAAATGATTAATTTTCTTAAGTGCATGTCAAACTCTGCAACTTACACATTTCTATGTGTTGTCTTTCAATATACACGTTTCCTGCGATACAGGAAAGCAGCTGGCCAAGGAAACACTAGAGGATATGCCACCCTCATTTTTGCCTGGAGTTCTTTTCAACAGAGATGTTTCCATTTTTAAAAGCAGTGAAACTTCAAGTCTTTGGAAAATAAATTTTACCCAGTTGCAGTCTAATTTTTAATCTTATTGTTTAGGTGTAATATTTCTGAAATCAAAAGACTGCCCCAGCAATCAAAACCTCTGCTTAGGGTTCAGTTCATTAATGTGAGGGACTCTGACTCTTGAAGAGAGTTCATTAATGTGAGGGACTCTGACTCTTGAAGAGGTACCTATAAAACCTCAAGGACTGTTGGTACTGGACATTTGTGACTTCAGATAGTATCTTGCGAAGTCATCCGTGATCCTTTCAGCTTCATTCGTAGGTTTTAGTCTATGGTTGTAGTGTAACCCTGTGGACATGGGTGTGTTTTACTGCAGGTTCCCAATACTACCTATATTCGCCTTTTGATTGTATGGTAATTGCTTCACTTACGCATGAGCTTAGGTATTTAATGTGAAAGCAGAATTTAAACACTAGTAAGAGAGAATGGGGAAAAGATTGAAAAGACTGGAAAGGAATAAACAGTTAAGTCAGGGTGTGGCTTTTCTTGTTACATATTCTATTAAAATGTGTATATTTTTTACTTTATTTTATATGAAATGATATGTTTATATTTGATATTTGTTACTTATTTAGACAGCAGAAAAATACACGGAAATGGAAATGTTCTCATCCCTTCGAAACATGTCACTTTTAACATTTAGTATTTGTGCTGCTATGTGCCAGGAGGGAGCTTTTCTACTTATAGAGCATCATGGAGATGAATTGCGAGGGTAGACTTCCATCTGGGTAACACTTTTGTCATTGTTTTTTGCTTGTTTCTTTTTAGGTCCCATATTCCTGAAAGATTTGTCTTAGCATTTAATTTTTTTAGAGAAATGTTTTGTTCATGATATACCGGTTTTTTACTAGTGAATTGTGAAGAATAATGGCTATAGTTTTTAGAACTTGGCTTTTATTGATTTGAGTATTGTTGATATACTGATATACTGAATACACTAAGCCTTCTTAACTCTCCTGATCTTAACTGAAGACCCTTTAGAGCAGCAAGTAGTAGAGTGTACTTGAGTTAGCCAAAATTATACTTACTTTCAGGCTGGCAAATTTGTATAGTATGGGTGACCTAGAAAGGAATATAGTTTGAATTGAGCAAACATTGTGATCATTGGATATGGTGTGTTCCTGCTATACTGAATTTTGTGTTTCTCAGAGTTCCATGCCCTTTCTTGCTTAGAATACTCTCACTCTCTCTGCCCTTGTGTAATTTAATGATTGTTACCCTTCTGCTCTGAACTCATCTGTCCTTTCTTTAGGAATCTTTCCTTGACTCTTTGGTGCCTAAGTTAGCTACCCCTTCTCTGTGCTCCTCAGCAGCCTGCACTTCCCCTTCATAACCCACATCATTATTATTATTTGTTTTGTTTAGATTTCATGCTCTTAGATTGTGAGCTCTGTGAGGACAGAGAATATATATATATATATATATATATTTTTTTTTTTTTTTTTTTTTTTTTGAGACAGAGTCTCACTTTGTTGCCCAGGCTAGAGTGAGTGCCATGGCGTCAGCTTAGCTCACAGCAACCTCAAACTCCTGGGCTCAAGCGATCCTCCTGCCTCAGCCTCTCAAGTAGTTGGGACCACCGGCATGCGCCACCATGCCCGGCTAATTTTTTCTATATACATTAGTTGGCCAATTAATTTCTTTCTATTTTTAGTAGAGATGAGGTCTCACTCTTGCTCAGGCTGGTTTCGAACTCTTGACCTCAAGCAATCCGCCCGCCTCGGCCTCCAAGAGTGCTAGGATTACAGGCATGAGCCACCATGCCCGGCGAGAATATATCTTTTAGTGTAACATTGAATCTTCAGTGCCTTAGCATAGTGTTTGCTACATACTAGTTTTAATAAATATTTTTGAAATGAATTAATGATTTTGTCATCTTTCTTTCTTTCTTTTTTTTTTTTTTTTTTTGAGACAGAGTCTCACTTTGTTGCCAAGGCGATAGTGAGTGCCGTGGCGTCAGGCTAGCTCACAGCAACCTCAATCTCCTGGGTTCAAGCGATCCCACTGCGTCAGCCTCCTGAGTAGCTGGGACTACAGGCATGTGCCACTATGCCCAGCTAATTTTTTGTATATATATTTTTAGTTGGTCAGTTAATTTCTTTATATTTTTAGGAGAGACGGGTCTTGCTCAGGCTGGTTTTGAACTGCTGACCTCGAGCAATCCGCCTGCCCCGGCCTCCCAGAGTGCTAGGATTACAGGCATGAGCCACCTTGCCTGGCCTATTTTGTCATCTTTCTTTCCCCAAATGTTTTACAATGTTGTTACGGGTTGGATTGTGTCCTCCTCCCTCTAACTTCACATGTTAAGCTCCTAACCCTCTGAATATATTAATAATTGTGTTGTATTTGGGAATAAATTATTTAAAGAGGTTATTAGTTAAAATGAGGTCTTTAGGCTGGGCCCTTATCCTTTTTGACTGGTATCCTTATAAAAAGAAATTTTGGACACAGACGTGCACACGCAGAGTGAAGACTATGTGAAGACACTAGAAGAAGACAACTATCTAGGAACTAAGGAGAGAAGACATAGAAAAAC